AAGGATAACTCGACCAAAGCGACTTGGTATTGACATCGAGATACTTGGAAACACCCTCAATTAGAGATATTCTGAGAGGAAGAGGTTACCCGACATGAATTCATTTTCAACTGAGCACAACTGTCCTACTTTTATCAAAACCTGTTGCTCTCTATAATAATAATAATTTCTGATGAGACTGGTACTTATCTAAAATCTGGTTAACATCAAAGGAATTTAAAAATAGACATGGTTGGACAATAATTTGTTGGAAGATATATCAATATTATAATCGATTCCATGTAACAAAATGGTATGGGCAAAAACGTCCACAACTTGTAGAAAGCAATGGTGTTTTGTGCAAAGAAATTTTATACTTTTTACCTTTTGAAGAAAGACGATTAGCAAAACTAACAAACAGAATCAAATTTCTGTTAATTTAACAAAGAAAATGAATTCATTAATGTCCATCATAATGCCCAGTATTAATTATAAAAATTAAAACAAAAACCCGTTATTAATTACAGAAATTCACATTTAAGTTACCTTCAAACTGAGATTTACAATGTATTCAGTTAAGAAGGGCTTAAGCATGTCTCTTGTTATATTTTGTGCACAGGATTGGAAGCAATTTGTAACATTGCTACATTATTTGTCTCTCTTTAATTAAGTTACTTTGGTTTATGATTTTTTACCAGTGAACAATTTGCACATAAAAGGTTTAATAAACGTGTGGATAATTCAATGCCATTTACTTGTTCATTACTTAAATTTGCAGTACCATTAACTTCATTCTAAATCTGAACCAACATAAAAGTTGACGAAATATTTAAAATTATAAATATTTTTATTCGATAAAAGTCTCTACAGAAATTTAATGAGTCAATATATTAATCAGGATTTGTTCTGTTACCGCTTGAATATAAGTTTATCAATCTGCCATTGACTTATGCTCAGAAATTAATTAAGGGAAAAATCATGTAGCAATGTTACAAATTGTTTCCAATCCTGTGCACAAAATATAACAAGAGCCTTTCTTAACTGAATACATTCAAATTTTCTCGTTTGAAGGTAGCTTAAATGTAAATTTCTTTTCTTAGTTACCTACACAAATTAATCAATTCACATCGTCTATGTATTTAAATAGGATTATAATCTGCTGCCAGTCTTGATAGATTTCAAAGCGTCGAAGGGGCCTAATGGGTAATTATTTATTTCCCATTCTATAATGAAGATGATTCGTACACTAGTGCTAATCATCCCCATTCTCTTTGTATTCTATTAGTAAAAAAGAAGTTCCTCACTGGCAGAACAGCTATTTTGTTTTAAAATCTCCCGTGAGAATGATTTCCCAATCACTAGAGTCTCTTGACGTCTATGGTTCAACATTATAAATGCGTGAAGACACAAATGATTAACTGTTCATAACAACTAGTTCGTATAACCCCCCCCCAAATCATCCACAAAAGCAACATATGAAGACCTTTTAAACGTTTGTTATTTATCATTAAATGATCTCAATAGCCTTTTTCCATAATAAGTACAATGAATTTGATATTAATTGACTAATGAAAAAATATTTATATATCCAGACGTTTTAAAACAATCTTAAGTATGTATGCGCTTAAGCAATGATTGATTAATGATCATGTGCATTGACACGGAGCATTGTGAAATTTTGATCTAATTTTTTTATGGTATAATGTCCGCTATATATATGTGTAATAATCACCAATTAACCCTGTTCTTTTGTTGTCCTCTCTCCTTAAGGTTTTTTCTTAGACTCTTTCACATTTTCATATCAACCCAGGGTGTTTTGGCGGTCTTGTTACTTTCCTAATAATGACATGATTCAAATAAATTAAGGAAATTAGATTATCTTGTAAGCAAACCTACATATTTGAGATGTAATTTTTTTAAGTTTGTGAGAAGTGTGTGTGTGTGTGTGTGTGTGTGTGTGTGTGTGTGTGTGTGTGTGTGTGTGTGTGTGTGTTAGAATTATCTATATTTAAAGAGGAAGAGTGATCAATACTGAATATTGGGTCTATAGATACAGACTGTGTAGGCGTAGGGATCAACACTATATATATATATATATATATATATATATATATAACCTTACATACAATCCACTAAAGAGTAGTACAAGTTAATCTTAAAGATAGCATTAAAATTGACAGTTCCCATGCAGTGACGATTCCTCTCTCTCATATGCACACACACATATATATGTGTGTGTGTGCGTGTGTGTGTATGTGTGTGTGTGATAAAAAAAAGTTGTAAACTTGTATAATTTAGTTTGCCTATGTAGTGTCAAGTTAAGTAAGCTGCAACTTCATAAGAAATGAAAACCAGTGTAATTTTTGGTGCAAGCAAATCATAAGCATTTGTTGATTTTATCTAACTGATGTTTTAGGGCTAGTGCGTGTGCAGAAAGTTGTGCGTTAAATTAGATCAACATTTTTTTAGCAATATCAGTTGTAGAGTTGCCTGGTAACAATTTTAAAGGAACCTTTTTTCGGCACAATATTCCAAAGCGAGATTGAATTGATAACCAACTTAAGCTATCGTCATCTGCATAACTGACGTCCATTTTTCCCATTTGAATATAGCTATGCTACTGAGAAGTGTTTTCAGCTCTGCAAATGCTTCTGACAATGTGTTCCCATGTGACGTTTTTAATTTGATTTTTCATTAAATAATGTACAAGAAGCGAGAGTCTTTATGGTGACGCATATTTTACAGGAAAGAACTCGCCAAAGAGAGAAATAAAAGACTTCTACACGGTGAAGTAACCACTTTAGAGCAAGAAAAACAATTCTAATTGAGATGTTTCCTTAGAAAAGCTTTATTTCTAGAATTTAGAATAACCCATTGCCGGAGAGGTGAGTATCGTTAACTCCAAGCTATGAAAGAAACATTTATACATGTATACATAAATATTGATAATACTTTAAGCTAATAAGTTGAATGTTGTGAAAATTTGTGAGATTTTCTACAAGCAAAACATCGGAAGCACCCCTTCAAAGATCCAGTGTTACTAACAGATGCACTGTCAATATAACCATACTAAAAAACGGAAAAAGAAAGTAGGATTTTATAAGAACATGATTAATTTTGATTGACTATGACTAGTCAATATTCTTTAAAGTATAACATACATTTTGCATAACGATGAGATATGGACAAATATAAATATCATTTTGCAGAAATACATTGAAACTAAGATAATTATTGTCAAAATGTATTATTTATACTACAGAAGTTTGCCAGTTTCACGCGAGGCGATTTTCAGTATCTATGTACGATAATGAGCACCATTTGTAAACCGTATTATTAATATTGTTTATATATATATATATATATATATATATATATATATATATAAAATAAACCTCAGACTAATTGTTATAGCGGTGTTTTAAATAATATATATATATATATATATATATATATATATATATATATATATATATATATATATATGTGTGTGTGTGTGTGTATGTATATATATATATATATATATATCAAGAGAGGAAGAGAGAGAGAGCACTTTATCCCATAAATATAGCACACCTTAAATCTATATTTCTCCATATATATGTGTGCGCGCGCATGTGTGTGTGCGCGAGTGTGTGTGTGCGCACGCACGTGTGTGTGTCCGAACGCTTGTGTGTGTGTGTGTATTCCAGCTAACTTAGTTAGCTCTTTAATCCTATTGACTTGCTTCTTGTATAAAACAACATATCAGATATTAAAGTATTCAAAAGATTAATTCACCATAGGACATCATTAATTAATATCTAAAATTCAAATAGCCAAATATGATGACTGCGATATATACGACGTCCACAAATTAACGCGGATTAGATAAAGGCATGATTTCCCGTTAAATCTAAGTATATTTCAATATCTCATGTGTAAATAGCTTTCTTTTTGGTTATCGGCAAAAAATTACCTGTGACGTCAATTACTAAACTTTATCTGATATGGATCAGTTCCGGACCCAAAATATATTGTTTTCAATACAGATTTTTCTCTTTAGCTTTAAAATATTTTTTGTTTCTACTTTGACTTCGTTTTACTTAATATTAAACTCATCTGCGCAAATTAGAGTAAAAATATAATATGTCCCTCCCCGGAACGCTGTTCTTCGATATAAGATTCTCTTCCAAAACAAAATAACTTTCAATTATAAACCTTTTACTTGAAGCATATATTTGACAATAATAGAAATCTTACATGCAGCGAAAAAAAAAATTCAGTTGGTTGCATAGAGTTCTGATGTCAGATAGAGTGACGTTGTCTTGCCATTAGCATATAATATCGGAAAGTGAAGATTCAGTTGAGAACGAAGCTTCTCTAGCTGTCTTACACCGTCAGCAAATACAAACACAATTTTCTATCTCTAATGATGACTGAAAACATATCTAGAAAAAAAAATGAAATCCAGATCAGTGAGGTAAAAATAGGTAAATAGGAAAGAATAAGAACTGACATATCTTTTCAACCAGTTCACAGAAACCAACTTAATTTCAGGATCTTTTAAACATCTGGGATCATTATTAATTAACACTGATCGGCAAAAATAAACCAGGTGCCAAACTCAAACGCTTATTCTTTTTTGGGAAACGACAGCTGTCTTATTGCATTCCAGCAAAATTCAATCAGATCTATCCATGTCACAATTTTATTATCTTTCTGATAAATAGTACCTACACTAATAGCAAAAGAAATGGTATTTTTTTAATTCTCCCAGTCTCGCCGGAAAGTTAAGACTTCCTAGCCACATTCCTTATAAGCATCTGTTGAATAACGAATTGTGATAAAAAGTAACAGAAAATAAGATGAAATAAATAGTATTGGGAGAGGTTCTTGTAAGAATTTAAAAAATGAAATATAAATATTTTTGTACAAAATAGACAAGAAGGGAAAAGGCAATTTTAAAAAAAGCATGATGCACAAAGAACAACAAAGACTAAAATGAAAAAAGAAATAAAAAAGTTGAAAGTACAAAACGATTACAATTCTTTTGAATGATGAAAGAAAAAAAATGAGAAAAAGAAAAATGAGGAAAAAGTAATAAAAAGAGAAAAGTAACTAAAATCAAACAAATCAACTAAAATAAGTGTCGAAATCTTTTTTGCCTATTGTAAACAATAAAGACAGGCGATAGTTACTTCTTGTTGACGTATATTTAGTTGGTTTTTTTTTCTGTTTTCATTGGCAGGCAGCTTAAAAGCATCTAATGGATACGGACAGTTTTCTGAAGTGCCCGTTAACGAGAGGAAGAGACATCACTTTGAGTTTAGCCTCGACCAAGAGTTTCTGAAGCTGTTCACAGAGTTTTAAAATCAAATGTAAGTAGATTGCCTTCTGACTGATGGGGAAACTAGTCCCACATGTACTGCACCAAAGCACATTTGTCACTTTTCGTTCGTGAGGTCACATGTATCAAAAGTATATTCACTCTTCTTTACCACTTTTTTATTATTTATCATTTATTTTCACTATTGTTCATAAAATTTAGTGCATTTTTCTGCTGTCATGTTTTACCTTCTCTTTCTATTAATCAAAATTTATTTCATTAATCGATGCTAATAATCATATTAAATAATATTTATTTAATTAATCGATGCCACTAATGTTAATGTTTTAAATTAGTCCGTCTGTACGTATATATGCATGACATGACGCCCTGGAGTGAGGTGGCAGTTAAGATTATAAACACTAAAGAACTTCATCGCTATTGTGGAAGTAAATCTTGATTATGAAAAGAGATAAATACAGAGAGAGAGAGAGAGAGCGTTATAGACAGTGTTACGGGTAAGCAACGTACAAGCCTTTTGGTTGTTATCAAAACGGAAGGAGGAGGATAAAGCAAATAAATTGAAATGCAGAACCTATCACGTATCTGTGTCTTTCTCTCTTTCCTCCTCTCTTTCTTTCTTTCTTTTTTTCTTTCTTTCTTACTTCCTTTCCCCTTTCATTCTGACCACTTTTACATTGTGTACATGTGGAGGAATTGGGATAGATATGCTTCCCTACACCATCAGCGTCATCGGTGGACACTTGATTTTCATATAAGACAACCCTGTGAGCAATGAGAGACGGCGTGGCGCCAAAATTCAAGATTCGGGAGTTTATGTCTATCCAGAAGACCGAATAATTCAGTAACCCATTTGAAAACTATTGATTGAAACATTTTTATCCTCTCCAGGAATTACAGATATGATTCGAGTATCAACCTCGACGATTGTTAACATCTGCTTGACGGACAGTGAACTCTGAAGTTATCCATGGACTCGGACGTTCTGTGGTTATGAACTTATCCCTCTGAGTCAACCTTTTTATAAGAACTGTTGATGTGTTGACTCCAAAACACAATTAAGTAATATGTGGATTATCATCCAAACAAATTCCTTCATCATTTTTTTTAATTTTCTTTTTCTGTTCTCATGTTCATGTTATTAAGCTGTTAATGTTAAATTGATTCCACGTGTTCGCTATAATTTTTTTCATTGGTTATTGTATTTTGCGTGTATTGTTCCTATCCTGGAACTCATATCCCGAATCAAATCTCGCATTCCGGTTTAAATACAAATTTTATTTATGTCTGAGACCTAGGCCGTGATAATATATATATATATATATAGAGAGAGAGAGATAAAGAAACAGATATATATAGAGAGAGAGACAGAGGTAGAAAGAGATAGAGAAAGAGAGATAGTAATATATATATAGAGAGAGATAGTAAGATAGAGGGAGAGATAGTAAGATAGAGAGATAGATAGACAGAGTGTGATAGAGGGAGATCTAGAGAGACAGATAGAGTTAGTGATAGAGAGGCACAGAGAGAGAGAAATAGCTAGATTGATATAGTTACAGATAGATAGAAATTATTATCTATATGTATATATGCATGAGATGACTCCATGTGGTTAACTTGCAGTTAAGATTATAAACATGACCGCCAATGTTGAAATAAATCTTTGGTATGAATAGCGTTTTTTCTTTTAATGTATATATCTTCCATTATTTGTAATATTTTCTTGTTATCTGAGTGAATTAAAACTGCAGTATGGTCTAAAAACATCAGCGGTATTATATAGATGTTTGGCTTTTGAGAAGTCGACGAGAAAAGAGTTGTGAGAGAGAGAGAGAGAGAGATAGTTTGAGATGTTTTTGTTTTATGATCGGAGACACAGTCTCGTAACGGATACTGAAATTCGTATCTAACAGATTTTTTTGAAAATTTGAAAAGTTTTATAAATTCAATTCTTATTTTTCTGTCCAAAAGTGTACTAAAACTATACAGCAGCAGATGCTGATTATAATTGTTCTAATACAAGACCACGATAATGGTGCTTCAAGTAAACATCGAATTTACTAGTAACTACAAAACTAGTTCCTGGCAAACTAGTTTCTGGCCGATTTCGTAACAAGATTTTGATAGATTTCCAAAAAACTTCTTTTGTTGTAACAAAAGAAGTTTTTGGAAATCTTGCAAATTATCTCGTCAGTCTCTGAGATTTATTATCATTAAAAATGACTGGAATTGTTTGCAGAATTTAAGGTTTGGGTTTTATAATGAAAAATTAACATGGATATAGTTGCGTGTATATAAGCATGACTGCTGTTCATATGTTCGTTGAAGAAAAGGTTAAGGTTAACAAAACTAAGGCTGATATGGAAGAAAAAGAAAAGCATTCAAGAAAAGTGATTAAGGTGAATGGTTGTATTGTGCCTTATATACAAAAATGTGTTTCATGCAAGCAAAATAAATTAAAACTTCTGTCGAAATCATTGCGAACTGATGACGCTTTACGACATTAAACTTTGCAAAAGAGATTAACAAAGTCAGAATATCGGTGATGATTTTTTTATCTATCCCGACCATCAAAATAAAATATAAATGTCTGATAGAAAAGAGAAAGCAGCAAATTCAATCAAGAAATGACATTCATGACAGATTTTTTCGGTTGTTGATGAAACAGAAACAGGCTCACGCGCCATCTGAATTTTGCAAGCAATCTTAGTGAATAAGCCATCAGGGATGACATGCACAAAACTATAACATTTCGAAAAAAATATATTTTCGATTCCTACCTAGCTGCCCACACAAAGACAAATATACACAGATATACAATGAAAAGCATAAGTACAGGTGTAGTTTTTTAAACAGGATGAAACATATGTATATACGCATTAAGTGCCCCAGCGTGTGTACATGTAAATATCTGAAATCGTTTATGCATTTATTTATATATAATGTTCGCTTATTTTGTCTTTACTGACGGTTTCACGGAAATTACATCCACTCTTCTAGAGACGTCATTGTAATTTTGCACTTATTTTTAGAAATTATATTTCTTTAAAAACGTAATTTTATGAGGTAAATATGTTTGTGTTCCGCGTACACACACATACACACACATTCACACACACACACATATATATATAACTTCTGATTTTATATATATATATATATATATATATATATATATATATATATATATATATAACCAGAAGTTAGATACTAATGCGATTTTCAAGTGAATTATATATTAAACTTCTGCACACACACACACAAACAAACAAACATATGTACTTTTAAATCCGACGTATATCCGTTTTGAAGAGGGGCGTATGTTTTCTAAGCAAAATTGTTAATCTTGTGAAGGGTTTTACTTACAGCTTACAAGATATTAGATATATTTGACTTCTCTAAAAAAATCTCATTTTAAAGTATTTTTATATTTATGTTAGTACAATATTAATCAGTATTTACTTGATGTAAGTACAATCACAGATTATATTGTTAGGGTTGGATAGCTAGTTTTTGAGGTGGAGTACAAAATTATATATATATGAAGTAATGTATAACTAAGCATAACTAAAAACATACAAAAATATATAACTAAACATAACTAAAACATATAAAAACCATACAAAAAGCACCAAAAACAATAGAACACAATATCAATAAGGAAGCCAAAGCAAACGCCCCATAATTACACCTAGACAGTCAAATAAGTAAAATTGGTAAGGCGCAAGCCTTTATCACACTAAAATACCACAAAGAAAATTTCAAAACCAACCCAGTGAACTAGTTAAAATAAGTAAAAAGATACTAGAAAGAATTAATTCTGAGCTAAGGCAGAAGTTAGAAGTAAGCCAGTGGAAAAACACAAGCAACTACAGACTGGTTCCACAACATGAAAAACAAACATAATTGTCTATTTATACATTTAGACTTACAAGAATTCTATCTGTCTATAAGAGAACCCATGCTGGATAAGGCCATCATCTTAGCCCAGGAACAAATAGAAATAAATACAAATGAAATCGATAACATTAAACATTCTCGTAAATCACTACTATTCAACAATGAAGACGCATGGCTAAAGAAAGAATAGATATTTGACACTACAATGGGAAGCTTTGACGGTGCTGAGATGCGAAAACATAGGTATATATTTACTACACAAACGAAGCAAAATAATAGATAGAAATGATACTGAGACGGCAGTTTCATAATCTTAAGAAACTACAACAAACAAAACACAGTCAAAACTAGAAAAGCAATAATAAAGATTTTCAAAAATAAGCTTTCGACATAGACATGAAAACTAGATTTCAACTGATGAAAAGTTGAAAACCATACAGAAAACCTAATGTATATACACACATCTTACAATCACCCGCCATCTATAATTAAACAGATACCAAAATCAATTAACCACAGGCTTTCTGACAATTCTTTCAATGAAATCATATTTAACGAAGCTAAGAAAGACTACGAAACAGACCTAAAAGATAGTGGACTCCCGGCAACATCCATATACTCACCACAGAGCACAAAAGAGCCAACAGGAAGAAAAACACCATAGGGTTCAACCCACCGTACAGCAAAAACGTAAAAACAAACGTAGGAAAAATATTTTTCAAACTCTTGCACAAACACTTCCCGGAATCAAGCACTCTCCACAAAATATTCAAAGTGAAAAGAATAAACAAAAATAAATAAAATAAAAATATAAAACAAGTAAAAAAAAATGAACCCAAGCAAATAATAAACAAATTAACAAGTCAAACCCGCCAAGACAACTGTTAGAATAGACCGAAAAGAATAAATAAGAAAAAACAAGTAAAAATAATCAATTCAAATAAATTAATTAAGTAAATAATAAACAAATTGAGAAACAACTCGCACCAAAATAACGGTTAGAATAGACTACAACAATCAATCCAAAGAGTGGACGAAAAATAGCTTTAATTACCTTCCCAGACCAAAAACTACTAAATAAACGATTAGAACTCATCTCCCAAAAATTTTTACTAAAACATCGAAAGCCTAAAAGAATAAATAAAAATATATAAAATAGAAATAAACAAAAACAAGTAAGATAAATTAATCCAAATAAATAAACAAACACACCCTCCAAAATAACCATTATAATGGACTAGCCACAACGCACCACTGAGCCGCATATATAAAAACAATATGGCCTGATGAGTGCGTCTAGCATGAAACACTCTGTCTCCTCTCAGTGTTTAATGTATGCTATATTTATGGGATAGTGCTCAATATCAGGGATAGAGCGTATGTAAATATAAAAGTGAACATTGAAGTCAATACCCAATGGTAACTGTCTTTCATGCTTAAACGTAGTGTGTGTGTGTGTGTGCGTGTGTGTGTGTGTGTGTGTGTGTGTGTGTGTGTGTGTGTGTGTGTGTGTGTGTGTGTGTGAGAGAGAGAGAAAGGGATATGTGTGTTCCAATGAATTCATAAATGCTGATATCTCATAGCCCTTATGAAGCGAATGTAATGTTCTACTGTTGGAATAAATATGTATATAAAACTTCATCGATCATTTTGTACTTATACGTACATATGATTATGTATATACAGCGATTTCAATGGATATATTTTAAAATTGTTTCACAGAAGGAAAACAAATTCTTTATACATCTTTTGTCATAAGAAAGCTGCAGTTTTGACAGAGATATATTTTTTTTTTAATTATGAGTTAGATGAAGCTCCTGAACCCTCATGAAGTCAATCCAACTGAGAGAAGGAAAACTCGAAATTCAAACTCCTGCTGTCTTGTAGGTTTTCCTTGGCTGGAACAAAACAGTGGATGAAAGCGTTGGTTGAAGTAATCCAGCAGAGGTGAACAAAAACTTGGAAAGTTGAGTTACTGTTAACTGAAACTGAGAAATCCGGAAGAGGCATGGTGCGTGGAACTAGAACAATTAACCCCGGTGGACGAAATAAAGGTTTCGGTTCGAAATTACAATCACCTGACGAAGTCCGGAGTGTACAACGGCCGAAATGTCGTAAATATTAGAACAAAATGAGAACAACAGCCTGAACAATGTAAATAGTGTAAATTGTCGATTTTTGTCGTCATTTGTTAATCTTAGCTACATTGTTTTAAAAAGTTTTCACTCTTTCTCTACTTTTTTTTTCTCATTCTCACCCTCTCTTTCCCTTTCCCTCTGGATTTAATTATTCATCACAAGTAAGTCACATGACAGTGTTATTATCGCTTATTCCCTATCCTAGGTTTAGATAACTTTCATATATAATTATGTATAATTTATTTTCTTTACTTTTCGACTCTTTAATCTCAGCATATTTCTATCCAAGTCTCGTTCTGTATCTTTATCTCTCATTGAGCTACTTTTCAATTTTAGTTTTTCAAATATACACTTCATTTATTGTACCTTATGTCACATTCTGTGTTCCACAACTGCGACCTTTCAAAATTCATTAAGATTCTTTCTAGCAGGTATTATTACCCACATGTGTGTTTGCATGTATGTGTGTATATTTAGGCAGCATACTTTCATTCATACATGTTTCATTGAATAATATAGACATATTTTGTCTACTTATTTTTATACTGATCCTTTCCAGTTGTCTAATAAGTTTATTGATATTAAGATGAAATTCATCAATGAAGGTGCGTAGTTTTTTTGTTTTGTTTTTTTTGGTTTTTTTTTTTTTTTTGGTTTTTTTTTTTTTACCCAAGCACTTTCAGTATATTCCAAGATCATCTTCAGGGGTAAATTACAAAGACAAACTTATTGCAAATGTGATAAAATCTGCATTCCGTCGTGATGGGGATTTTTAAAAACACACACGAACGAGATCTGTTATAATTGTTTTAAATTTTGAATTTATCCGTTGTATTTATGGATTTTTTTATTTATTTATTTTTTTCAAAAGAAGCGTTTCAGTATACTGAAGCTGGCCAGAAATTGTTAGAAATGTAAAATGGCATTAAATGCTATATGTACTTTAATATGTTGTTGCTATATTCGTAATAAATTTTGTTCAGTGTTGGTTGCTTGCTTTTTTATATAGAGGGCCTCACGAATTTGAAGTTTTTGTTTATTATTTTCGTGATATAGTATATTGGTGTGCATGTCAAAAGGTATTTTCTGTATTGTGAAGGTGGACAGGAATGTGTTTCTAGATATTGTATAATAGAACTTGTATCCGACATCTGAAGTGTAAGACATTTTGATAATGTTGTAGACGCCAAGCTTCATCCTTGATGAATTTCATCTTAACATCAATATATATATATATATATATATATATATATACAGACACACACACACACACGAAAAAGGGGGAATTCTTAACTTAAAAATAGCGAAAATAATATTCAATTAACATTACAAAAAGTACAATCTTCGTGGCCGCTTTCGCCGTTATATCATCAAATAACAGAGGTGCGATTTGTGGACTATTTTTGCTTTGGATGTGACCTATATAAATTACTTTTTACATCTGTTTATTATTGTGTAACTCATAGGAGCAAGAAAAGTAGAAAGTATGTTTGAAGAGAAAAGAAAGAGTGATGGCGTACAGAAAGATATTTATAAAAGATATTTATAAAAGATATTTATAAAAGATATTTATAAAAGATATTTATAAAACATACATTTTACAAGTTGGCATATTTATTCCCTACCAAATATGATACTGCTGTTGGACTTGTTCTCGTAAAGATACAAATGTGACTAAATTTGTATTTTGCATTATATCATTATTAAATTAATCATAAAATTAAATGCATCTTTGTTCAACGTAAGGCTGAGAAAAGAACTTATATCCGTATTTCTGTGAAATCCCCTATTGTAGGTCGGTATTTGGCGCGCTAAGTGCACAGACTATGAGCCAATAATATTTTAGGAACATTTTTAAAGATATCAGTAACTATGATTCACCCAACTAAGAAATCAATTCTACTCTATCCGTCCCTGAAATATACCCTAATGACTATCAGTCAATTGCGAAGATGGCTAATAGAGGTCAGTAACTGTGGTACACTTTGAACGTTTTTTTTCTTTTCTTTTTTTTTTTTTTTTTGAAGAAAGAATGCCCAAATTCCTATCTGTGATTTAGATGTTAGATAACAATCTAATTGCAAACAGCACATGCGTCAAAACTATATCTTTTATGATGGACGTCTCAATGAAACTCACTATAACACTTACATTTGCCTATACCGAACGCCTACTTTTGTTATTTTGAAGATATAAAAAGATAAAATGTTTGCTACAAAAATATGTTTCTGAATAAAGGTCACTAAATGACCGGATGATTTACAAACGTGGGCAGATCAGGTTGAAGCAGGAAAAAGAGGATCGATGTAGCCTATTGAATGGATCACTAGACCTGAATGGAGATGCTGAGTAGAAAATATGGAGAAGTAATTCTTAATTCAATATGGTATAATTGATGGGATAATCAGAAATAAATGATGAAGAAACCGTGTACGGAAAATATGTATAAAAAACAGGAAAAATAAAAAAGAATTTTAAAAGAAAAGATAAAAAAGAAGAGAATAAAAAAAAACAAAGGATTGAACAAAGAAAGAAACAAAAAGTGAAGGAAGCAAGATAAATATTACAATAAAAGAAGCAGAATAATTTGACATGGCAAAAGGTTTAGAAAAGAAGAGCAAAGAAAATGTAAGAAAAAAGAATAATATAGTTAATGAAGCAAAACAGGGATAATAGGCAAAATTTCACGAAGTCAAAAGAAAGAAAGAAAGAAAGAAAGAAAGAAAGAAAGAAAGAAAGAAAGAAAGAAAGAAAAAGAAAGAAAGAAAGAAAGAAAACGTGGAGTAATATAGAAAGATGGTTAAAAGTTCTCTTTTTTAGAAAGATTAACAAAAAGTGGAATCGTACGCAAACAGTGAAAAAGAGATGAAAAATACAAAGGAAATAAAAAAGATAAAGAAAAATGATGGAGATACTGAAATGAATAACGAGAAAATATTAAGCAAAAATACTATAACAATCAAGATAAGAGCAGCTGGCCGAATAAATCAGCGCATAAAAAGATGGAAATAAAATAATGAAATAAAAAAAGCAATACAAAAAAAAGAGAAGGGGAATAAGTAAGAAGAAACAAGTGACAATGCTAAAGGAATGAAAAGAAAAATACTTCAAAATTAAAACCACATAGAATTTTTTGAAAAAAAGATGAGAGCTCGAAGAAGGAAAGCTGAAAAAAGGCTATCAATCAAAGAAGATGAAAGAACTAAACCAAAAATGGACAAATGAAATAAGGAATAAAGAAACAGCTGATGAACAAAGGGAAAATAAGAACAAAACTCTGTGAAAAAGTCAATAATTTTTTAGGCAAAGAAAGGTGCCAATCTTGAAGCTCCGATCAAGCGTTTTTATGCTGTCACTGTTTTAAGCACAAAGTCGGCGCCATGTTTGATCCTATTTGATATTTTCTTCTAAAAGAGTAATCTCCCTTTATGCTCACCAATAGCTTCTTTTTCTGGATTTTTCTCATGAATAATTAAAACATATGGCTTAGTGGAGAGAAAATTGGACAAGAATCAACAATATTTGCACAGACCTTGGCTTTATGGTGTGCGTTACATTACTGAAATTCAAAACTGGCTTTACGATCACAAAAATAACAATTGGACATCAATGCGACAAAATCTGTTGAATATTAAGTAAATAATCACTCTGTTGAAGAGTATGCTTAATAGACATCGCTGGTATATGAGAAGTTGTAATTTCTGTTATTTATTAAATCGACACTTAGCCTTAATTATTTGGATAGTATTTTCTTAGAATTTCATTATTTTAATTCTTGTGTGAACAATTCTGAAGCATATTCAAACCAAAATAAAATGCTTGCAATTTTAACTTTACAGATTACATCTTTGTAATAAATCTATGTGTCATTCATTCTGTATATTCTTATTCCTCTCTGCCGTCACTTTCTAAAGAGAGAGAGAGAGAGAGAGAGAGAGAGAGAAACCCAAAATATAAAGAAAAAAATGAATATATAATATGCAGATGTACACATTTCCTAAAACATATCGGAGAAAACGGAGAAAAACGTTATTACAATAATATATTGCTTCATTCAGACCAGTGTTGTCATATTTGTTATTTTAATACAATGAAATTCAGTAGAAAAGAAAGAAAACGTGACAAATATAGAAATATGAATAACATACTTCGTGGGTCAAATAAATATTTCTGTTAGAAGATTACCGGAAACGTCAGACAGCTAACGAAGACTAGAGAATGAAGAATTAGAAACGGTGGGATACGATCAATAAAGATAACGAAACGGCCCCAGAGCGTGCTGAAAATTTCTAAAGCAGACTCACTTCCTAAAATCTGACTAAAATGACAAAACTTCAGAATTTGCTGGTAAATTCTGCACCACCAGCGTGTATAATAACCTAAAAAATGGTTAATACTACTGAATAGAAATGAAAAAACTTTTAATATTTATTCATAGAAAAGGATATGTGCTTACATGCTGGAACTCGTTGGCTGCTGTATCGAAAGGCGAATTAACTAAACGTTAATAAAAAAAAATCCCCTTCTTTGATGTTATTACCGACTCTAGTACTCGTAATTCTATTAAAATTTTATGTTGAAAAACTTCCAGCACTAATGCCGGCCTTCGTAAATACAAAGTGTCACTCTTGCTTTTAGTGGCTTCTGTGTTAAATTCTCTAGTTCTTCTTTCTTTATTAGTCCCCAAATTTTAAGTGGTCTCTTTCTGATTGTTATCAATAGTTTCTTCGTAGTTCCTCTTCCGTTTTAAATAAGTTTAAAAAGCAAAGCACAAGCTGCGTCTATATTTAACAAAGCTTGAAGGATTAATCGAAATATAAATAACTATGAATACCAACAGTAACTGTTATTGGTTCACCTTCACTACTTGTTCCAAACACTTGGCACGCAATGACACTTTCCTTCTCCAATAATCAGGCCTAATTGCTTGACTACTGAACACATCGTCTCCAAATGACCTCACTTGGCCCAAGTGGGCTTCTGTGAAGGTCAATTGACCAAACGAAAATCGAATTAATCCAGTTCAGAGGAAATTGTTCTTATCAGGTTAACATGATAAGAACAATTTCCTCTGAACTGGACTCGGGAAGTATACAAATTATATTTGCAATAACACAGAGTGTGAAAAAATATATGTTGTGTAAGATTAAAATGTTTTATAGAACAGTTGTGCACAATCTTTATTCTTTATGCATTTCTGTTTTGTCATAGAAGAGATTGAGAGACTGATTGTCAATTATAGATTGATCTTGTATTCTCTATGTGATAGGTAACTGTGCATCAACTAAGCCTTCTAAACTTAATATTATTAATCCAGCCCTTGTTTCCTTGACATATATCTGTACTTCTTTTAGTTTAAAATTTTTCCTTGATTCATAACCGATTTTTCAGAGAAAAATGCACATTTCAATTGATAACAACTTTAGGTGAGAAGAGGAACGTTTCACCTTAAAAAAAATGTACGTTTCTCAATGCGATAAGTATAAAAAAAAAAAAAAAAGAACGCACAAAACAAAATTAAAAAGTATAGTTGGTTACGGTTGCTTTCTTGTATTACATGATATTTTTAATCGTAGGGGATCCTGGTGCAGTCATGAGCAACCTTTGTAAGCCCCGGCTTCTCCCACTGAATCTCATAATACTCACAGGCGAGTGAGCTGTGCTCCCAAATTAGTCATGATGCTTCTAACTCAAAAAGGTCCGCTGCCTTGATTTCACGTGACACTTTCGATGCACGTTGTGCACCCAAGGTATCACGACTGTATCTTCTTTCCTGAATTATTTGTCTGAATTTAGTAATTAGAAGTGCCCCATCGGGCATTTTTCATGGCAAAATGTGAAAAAGAGGTTTAAGATGTTTTGTGTGATGTCCGTTGTATCTCTGTCTTATCAAATATCTGTGTCAGATCATAAGCAATAGAGAAGTCCTGACAACATCTGCTTTCTTCATGGGTTCTGATTAAATGGACTAATCACTCCTTGTGGTGAATATTGAAGTCAACAACAAATATAAATGTCAGCTGAGGGATTCTCAGGGAAGGCATCTGTGCTATTTTGTCGAATTACAATTACGTCATCCAGTGGACAATGGACAAATAGGAAAGATAGATAGACAAGAAAAATAAAGTAGATACTATGAACAAACACCACGTGAACGGAAACCAGGGTCTGCATTTTGGGGCTCTCTACCAATTGGGAACACGTCTTTACGTAGACATCGAGTCCGTGGCGATTTCGAGGGTCGTGTTTCACTATTAGGGGGGTGATTTCTTACCGGTTCAACCTCTGGAAAGTTGTGAGTCAGTCTTCTCACATTGGTGTAGGGGATGGTGAATTTGGGCGTCTATTTTTGTTTTCCTGGGTTCAGGTTTGTTTCTTTTGTTTGATTTTATTGTGGTCAGGGTTATGTATCAAATATTGGTACAGGCTAAGACGAGGTAGCAAAACAGTTACACACACATGTAGTTTTTGCATCAACAATCTAGACTGAATTATTCGGAAGTACAAACGTAACAATAAACTTCATCATGGTATCGAGAGGCTCCACTGGAGACCAATGCAGGATGCAGATATCATTCACAAAATGGCAATGCCTTCTATCGCAAATTGCCCTGAGGTTATTTCATCCTTGGCAGATCTTCACAATTAACTTTCTATCTAACTCCATGTTAGATGACATTACCATCTCATTATAAAATCACCCAAACTCACGAAGCACAAACTTAGTAACATTGATCACGACCTGGGAACTTTCCAGGCATCAAAAGCTTTACCGTAAGAAGGCTACTGGTCCAGATAATATTCCGATAGTTAAGAATTAAGAACATTAGCCCTGAGTTATTTATGATCTTGTCAAAATCGTTTACCTATTCACTGAAAGATAAATCCTTCCCAAGTCTATGGATTGCGTCAAGTATGTGCCCAGTCTTCAACAATGAGAGTGATCGCTCATCCCCGTCGCAATATCGCTTCATCAACCCTCATAGTTTCATCAAGAAAGTCTATCATTATCAAGGTTATTGATCACCTCAACACGGATAACCTAATGTGCGGCAAACTATATGGAATATTTCGCTCTCCTAGGTTCACTGTTGATATCCTGTCATTACTCCCAGAATCAGTGAGGCATATGACAATAAATAAATCACGAGTTTAATCGCTTTAGATATATCGAAAACCTTTGGGTAGGTGTGGCATAGGGGGCTTGCTACACAAGCTTTCCAGATATGGAATTACTGAAAGGATTTTCTCAATTATAAAGTCCTTCATAACAGGTCTCCTTGAAGATAGTTATTAAGTGTTGTGGTGGCTTCCCTCTAAAGAGTCTATGTCGGACTCTCCCGCCTACTATACGATTAGTAGGAGAGAAGGCTTTGGAAGAACAGTCGAATAGATTGAATTTTTGCATGGTTTCAACATCTTGGCGAGGAAGGATTCGAAGAAACGGACTTCACGTTACATCATTTTTTTTTTTTTGCCAGTGTCTACAACAGTGGTGAAGAAAGTAATTCTAATCAACCTCTACGACAAAAGGGTATCCAATGTTAATTACAACACTGACAGTGAAAAAAAGAAACTCCTCAAAACAATAGGATTTCTACAAGTTCAATTCAGTGGTTTGGAAGAAGGTTGGTGAACCTTGTTATTTTTTCCATCCCAACAAGTCAGTAAAAGAACTGTACAGGTCAAATAGACTTATTGTTGGTTAAGAGGGTAAAGAGAAAAAAATTCCCCCACTCATTTCTTAATTTTACGTGCCACCGCCGTAAAATGAACGAAGTTAAAAGTACAATGCTAGAGTGGATGAAATGCCAACAGGAATAACAACTACTGTTGGAGTAGAAATATCAAGAAAGACAAGAGAAATTCCAACGATAACAAGCAGAATACCAGAAGAAATTTGAAGAATTGCACCTAGAAACTGAGGTTAGACAACAGAAAATGGAAGAAATGCTCCTTCAAACACAGAATGAACAAAGGCATTTGTATAATATATCCATCTAAAGCCAAAATGAGGACAGCGAAAACGCGTTCTCTCAAAATGCTATTGAAAACTTTATGTTTACACCTGAAGAAGAAATTACATTCGCTTCCTTATTTTAAACGTTACGAGGACTTATACAATACGGATTCTGCAAGTTGGGCTGACTACAAAAAGGTTCGCCTAGTCCTCGGGAAATGAGGCGCATCACAATATACTAAGTTTGTTAACTATATTTTGCCTAAGAAAACCAGCGACTTGAAATTTAAAGAAGCGGTTCAATTACTAACAGAACTCTTCAGTCTAAAAACATCACTGTTCCACAAGCGTTGGAAATGCATGAATCTCACCTGCAAAGAAGACGAAGATTATACTACTTTCGCGAGTGTAGTCAAATAAACGCTGCGATGACTTCAAATTGGCAGAGTTAAGCGCCAATAATTTTAAATGCCTGATTTTAGTCCAGGGTTCGATTTCAGCGAAAGACGCCGAAATTACTTACAAACGAGCCCGACGTTACAGCAAGTTGCCGAAGATTGCCAACGTTTCGTGGGCGTCAGAGAGAATTCGAAAAACATCAAACAGAGTGCCGGGTTTTACATTAAAAAATACGCCATAGAAAACTTAAAAAGAGTCAACCAAAAAATTAAAAAAGTTACTTTGCCGTCAGGACCATGTTTCAGGTATGGACAACTACATTGGTGAAGAGATTGTCCTTTTAAAGATAAAAAATGTTTTAATTGTGATAAATTGGGACACAAAAGTTCCCACTGCAGGATTAAGAACAAGACAAAAAAAGTTTTGTAAAAATTACCAAGTCTGATGAACCAGAAAGTCGTAACATCAGGAAATATATTAAAGTGCAAATATTTAACAAAAATATAAGGCTACAACTTGATTCGGGTTCAGACATCCATAATTAATTATCAAACATGGAAAAAAAACTGAGTAAGGCGACTTAAGTGTAAGTGTAAGTGTAACTGGCAAGCCTAGTAAGTTTATGGGTGAACTTATAAGGAATGTGTCATCCAAAGGTAAAACATTAAAACTACAGGCGTATATTATGAAGAATACGGGTAATTTGTTCGGGACTGAGTGGTTAGAACAGTTTCAACTTTAGGATATGCCTATTATGTCAAAAAGTCGAAAATTTGACTGACGAAGCAGAAAAGTTGAAAGATGAACTTGAAAAACAATTTCCCTTCGTTTTCAGTGGAGGACTAGGAAAAAGCACAAAAATGTCTGCTAAGTTTGAGTTAAAACCAAACGTAAACTCAGTTTTTTCTTCGTTAAATCAAACTGACGAGGAATTGAATCGATTTCAGGAAATGGGAGTTATGGAAAAGGTTGAATATAGTGAATGGGCATATCCTACAAATTTATATTTAAAAAAAAAAACAGCAAAGAAATTCGTGTATGTGCTGACTTCTCTTCGGGGCTGAACAACGCCCCAAAGGATAACCATTATCCCCTTCCAAGTCCACAGCAGATATTCGCTAAGCCCAGTGGAGAAAAATATTTTTCTAAGATTTTTCTAAGCGACGCATATCTACAAATACCCGTGGACGTAGAAAAGGAAGCTTTAGTAATCATTTTTGCGGTGACTAAATTTCATAGATTTATTCATGGAAGGCACTTTTTGTTGCAGACAGACCATCGTCCACTACTTACTATCTTTGGATCAAAAAAAAGGATCTGGCAACACATACTGCTAATAGACTGCAAAGATGTGGAACTATTCTCCTCAATTATAACTATAAAATGGAGTTTCTCCTATCCACTAAAATCTGTCATGCAGACGTGTTGTTTAGATTGATACCTAAGTATGCTGAACCCCTGGAAGACACAGGCATTGCTTCCAAAAGAACAGAGGTCGAAATAAAAAGTACATTGTTCAATTCTGTCAGGAAACTTCCTATAACAATTGACGAGGTAATAGACAAAGCGTTCGATGATGAGTTCATAAAGGAAGTAAAGGCCAGAATATCTCAGAAGTTTATTCACTCTGTAATGAGTAGTAATCCCATCTACACTACAGAAAAGAACATTAAAGGAATTACATGTTGTCCATCCGGAAACTTCAAGAATGAAGAGCCTGATGAGAAGTTACTTCTACTGGACATAGACAAGGATATTGAAAACACTGTAAGATAGTGCAAAGGATTTGCGTTGGCTGCTAAAGCACCTCCGATAAAATTCAGTCCCTGGTCTAAAACCGACCGTCCGTGGTCGCGGATACACATTGATTTTGCTGGCCCACTTGATGGTTTTTACTACCTTGTAGTAGTTGACAGTCATGTTAGCCAGGAAAATAAAATCGCCATTTGACAAATTCCTTCTGAGTGAAACGAAAGCGGGAAATAGGAATAAAGTCCTTAAAAAGCGCTTGATGATCTGTGAAAAGGTTTATTTTTTTGGTCTTTTTTCTTTCGTGTATTTGGGAATAATAAAGCTCACTAGGAGATAAGAACAATAGACAAACAAATTGGTAACATGATTTACATGGTTCAGGGACTGAAGTTTATACACAGACGTCATGTAAACCAAATTAGGAAACGGTATGAAAGCGTAGTCGACAAGGATCCCATAGAAGATGACATTATAGACGTCGTCTTTGACACGTTTAAGGTTTCAATACTGCAATCGGTACCAGAGCTCAGAAGGCCCAGAAGAAAAAAGGAATTTAACGGAACTTTTTAGAAATTAACCCGAAAAGAAAAAGATATTGAACATCTTTCATTTATACCATGTCTACAGAAAAAAAGGAAAAGAATGAGTAAAAAAAAAACATCTCCTCAATTATGAAATTTGAATTACCAGAAAATCACAATACACATTAGATTATTGGAAATTATAAACATAATTATTGGAAATTATAAACATTATAATTTACAATTAACCTTATCCAATTTTTCATTATTTAGGGATAATGAATAGATACCGTAATAAAAAGGGACTGTTGTTAACACGTAAACTGTTTGTATTAAAACTGAAAAAAAAAGAAATTGTGAAAGTAATTCCTGTATATAGCTTTTTCAAAGTGGTTGATTCTGATATTTTTTTTTTTTTTTTTTGTGAAAAAGGGTTTATCTGATTGAATAAAAAGTATTGTGTGGTAATTATTTAAAAAAGAGACTCCATACGGAGTCAGGCTGAAAAGGTGGGTGTTGTGG